AGTGTTTCATTCCAGGTTGGATGAGCCTTGAGCAACCTGCTCTGGTGAGAGGTGTCCCTGCCCAGGGCAGAGGGTTGGGACTGCATCATCTCTAAGTCCATTCCAATCCCTAAAATTCTCTGTTTCTATGCACCATGAGGACCTCACCCCCTTCCCTGCTGCTCCAGCAGCACAGCCAAGGCTGCCTCAGGTCCTGAGGAGCTGCTGCTCTCCATCCTGGAGAGCTTTGCAGCAGTTCCTCAGCCCTGGCACTGCCCTCAGAGCCTGTGCCCGTGCAGGGAGCCGGAGCCATGCGCGTGGCTGTCATCGGGGCTGGTGTGATCGGGCTCTCCTCTGCCCTCTGCATCCACGAGCAGTTCCACAGCCTCCTGCCCCACCTGGAGCTGGAGGTCTATGCTGACCACTTCACCCCACACACCACGAGTGATGGAGCAGCTGGGCTGTGGCAGCCCTACCTCAGCGACCACGGCAACCTGCAGGAGACGTGAGTGAGGAGGAGGAGGAGGAGGAAGAGGCTGGTGCTGTGTCCCCCTTGGTGTGCCCACGCACAGCTCCCTGGGGCTGGCAGAGCCACCACTCTCCTGTTTTCATCACAGGCTCTGGAATAAAGAGACATTTGATTACCTCCTTGGGCATCTCAACTCAGCAGAAGCCAAGGAAATGGGACTGTTCCTCATTTCTGGCTACAACCTGTTCACGGAGCCAGTGCCAGTAAGGAGCAAGTCACAGCCAGGCTGGGAAGGGCTCCAGCCTGTGGCTGCCTGGGGGTGGGCACTGTCCTTGCTCCTCACAGCTCCTTCCCCCAAAATAAGCAGGAACCACCTCAAATGGCCAAAAAAAGCATCAGCCCAGCAGGAAAACCATTCCAGCTTCTCTCTTACCTCACCAGGTGTTGTTAGAATGGGGGAGGAAAATCAGCAGTGCTTCTTCCCAGCCAGTACTTCCCAATCCTTCCAAGTTTGCCTTGGGATAATGCATGGGACACTGTTTTCTGTGCCCCTGAAGCAATGCTGGTGTGAGGAAGGGCTGAGCCCTCCCAGGGTGGGAGTTGGCAAAGCCTTACCAGGACTTTAATCAGCTCAGAACCTTCTCCCTACTGCAGGACCCATCCTGGAAGAACATTGTCCTGGGATTCAGGAACTTGACCCCAAAGGAGCTCGAACTCTTCCCTGGTTACAGGTATTTTCCAGTCTGTTTTCTGGAGTCAGGCAGGGCTGGGCAGTCCCAGTTAGCTCCTGTCCCAGGGCAGTGGGGACAGGAAACTGCAGGTGTAGAAGTGTCCTCACTCCTCACAGCTGTTCCCTAAAAATAAGTAGGAAACACCTCAAATGGCCAAAAAAAATAAGCATCAACCCAGCAGGAAAACCATTCCAGCTCCTCTCTTACCTTACCAGATGTTGTGAGAATGGGGGAGGAAAATGACCAGAAGGTGTTTTACCTGTCAACAGAGGGGAAAAGTCACCAGTTTGTTGGGGTCCCAGGGGTAATTGGGGTCCCAGAGCCCAATTACCCCTGGGACCCCAACCCAACCAGAGCCCAATTACCCCAGGGACCCCAACCCAACCAGAGCCCAATTACCCCAGGGCCCAGAGTGGCTGGCAGGGTGATGGGGCAGGAGGCTCATGTGAAGCTGCTGTAGGTCCTCACAGCCTCTTCTCCTGCTCTGCTTTCAGCTATGGCTGGTTCAACACTGCCCTGATGCTGGAGGGCAGGAGGTACCTGCCCTGGCTCACCAACAGGTGAGTGAGAGATTGCTCCTGCTGCCCTGACTCCTCTGGCTGCAGGACACAGAGGCACATGTGGATTTTCATCCTGCACATCAGGCATTGTCCCAGATCCTTCCCTCCTGCCAAGCTGGTGACTCAGTTGAGGAGACACTGGTGGATTTTTGATTGTCCTCCCCATGTCCTGCTGCATCTCTGACCTGCTCAGCTTGAACATCCTGGTGGTTTCCATGTGGCAGCACCAGAGGAGACCTGAGCATCCTCCTTGCTCTCAGCAACCCTCACCCTGTGCCCCACAGCCCAAGGAGAGGGGAGGCAAGGGATGTACCCCTGGAAGTGAGGAAAAGGGTCTGGAATTCCTGCTCATTGCTCCAGTGGTGTAACAGCCTCCCCAGCCTGACAGTGAGCCCAGGAGTGTCTTTCTGCATGGCAAAAATGAAAGTAATGAGTAACTTGGAGCTGCATCCAAGTGCTTTTGACTATGGGAATATTTGGGATTTGTTTTTCTTCCTGTGATTTCTAAGGAAGAGCAGGTGTCCTGGAATTGAATGAAACATTTCCTTTTAATTTGCCAGTAACAAACTGATTTGTTCTTTCCAGATTAACACAGAGAGGAGTAAAGTTTTTCCACAAGAAGGTTGAATCTTTCCAGGAGGTGAGTGAGGATGTGAGCCAGGGCAGTGGGCACAGCCCCATCCTGGCTTTGGGAAGCAGCTTCCAGACATGTGCTGCTCCTGGACATCCCCTGCCACGAGTGATGGGCCAGGGGAGAGGGGCAAGGCCAATTCTATCAGGAAAGATAAAGGGAATTGGGCACTGAGAGGTGGCTGAGAGGGGCTGGGGCAGAGCATTCATCCAGCATGGACTGGCAGCTTTCCCTGGAACAGCAAACACTCTCCTTGCTGGCACACATGGGGTCTGAGCAGGAGCTGTGCCAGGGCAGCTGTGCCCTGGGTCCAGCCCCTATGGTTTACCCATTACCAGACCACTGGACCAAGCACTCATTTGGCTCATTTGGAAGCAGGA